CCCCCGAAGAAGCCTCTTTTGTAGAAGTGTGAAGAGACATTGGGGGAGAGGGGCACTAAGGAAAGAAGTAGAGTAATCTTGGCCAGAGCCATACAACTCAGATACTTTTCAAGATAACAATGAGGAGTCCGGTGGCACCTTAAAGACTAACAGATTTATTTGGGCATAAACTTTTGTGGGTAAAAAAAACCCACTTCAGATGCATGGAGTGAAAATTACAGATGCAGGCATAAATATACTGACACACAAAGAGAAGGGAGTTATCTTACAAGTGGAGAACCAGTGTTAATTCAATCAGGGTGGATGTGGTCCACTCCCAATAATTGATGAGGAGGTGTCAACACCCAGAGAGGGAAAATTGCTTTTGTAGTGAGTGAGCCAGCCAGTCCCTATTCAAGCCCAAATTAATAGTGTTAAATTTGCAAATAAATTGTAGCTCTGCAGTTTCTCTTTGAAGTCTGTTTTTTAAGTTTTTTTTGTTGAAGGATGGCTACTTTCAAATCTCTTATTGAATGTCCAGGGAGACTGAAGTGTTCTCCTACTGGCTTTTGTATGTTACCATTCCTGATGTCTGACAGAGACAAACACCTACAAAATCTTTATCAAGCATTCTTAAAAACTACAATACCCACCTGGAGAAGTGAGGTTGACAGAGCGAGACGGGTACCCAAAAATCAACTACCACAGGACAGGCCCAACAAGGAAAATAACAGAACACCACTGGAAAACAATCCCTCACTCTCACAGACCTTGCGAGGCAGGCCAGTCTTCGCTTACAGACAGCCCCTCAACCTGAAGCAAATACTCACTAGCAACTACGCACCACACCACAGAAACACTAACCCAGGAACCAATCCCTGTAACAAACCCTGCTGCCTACTGTCCCCATATCTACTCTAGTGACACCATCAGAGGACCCAACCACATCAGCCACACCATCAGGGGCTCATTCACCTGCACGTCTACTAATGTGATATATTCTAGAAATGCCCCTCTGCCATGTACATTGGCCAAACCACACAGTCTCTATGTAAAAGGATAAATGGACACAAATCAGCCATCAGGAATGGTAACATGCAAAAGCCAATAGGAGAACTCTTCAGTCTCCCTGGACAGTCAATCACTTCAGCAAAGTCAATAATCCTTCAGCAAAAAAGTTCAAAAACAGACTTCAAAGAGAAAGTGAAGAGCTACAATTCATCTGCAAATATAAAACCATTATTTTGGGCTTGAATAGGGACTGAGAATGGCTGGCTCACTACAAAAGCAATTTTCCCTCTCTTGGTATTGACACCTCCTCATTAATTATTGGGAGTGGACCACATCCATCCTGACTGAATTGGCCTTGTTAACACTGGTTCTCCACTTGTAAGGTAACTCCCTTCTCTTTGTATGTCAGTATATTTATGTCTGCATCTGTAATTTTCACTCCATGCATCTGAAGAAGTGGATTTTTTATCCACGAAAGCTTATGCCCAAATAAATCTGTTAGTCTTTAAGGTGCCAACGGACTGCTCGTTGTTTTTGTGGATGCAGACTAACTCAGCTACCCCTCTGATACTTGGCATATATTTCAAGCGACATTCCCATTTTAGCCCCATTGTTGTCTAGTTATCCAAGTTCCACACAAATTTGGTGTCCCCTCAGTTATATTGTTTGCAATTACTTACATCAGACCTAAAGAATAATGGGGAAAAAAGTAAAAGAAAAAGTAATTTATACTAAAGCAACAAAGATGAGAGCATTTTAAGCTTCCTTCACGAATAATTGAGTGTGCCCCTCATTTTGGTTAGTTGTCACATATTGTGTCCCATTTTTGGGCTGTGGTAGTTTCACAAGTATGGGCTTATAGGGGCTGGTGAGGAGACAATTCACAGTTTGGTGGACAAAGTGGCAGGACACAAGAGAAACATTTCAAAGTAGTATGTAGAAGATCCACTTTGAATTTATGCTTCAGGGCCCACTCATGCCTTTGTCCCCTGAAGACTGGATCACAGCAATCAACTCCATTTTGGGTAATACCATAAAAAATCGTAACTAATGAAGAAAGCATCAGCCTGTCTGCTCAGCAAGTCTGGTCGTGTAGCAGTTATACCTGCAATCTGTGAGTTACACTGGCTGCAGGTCTATTTCAGAATTAAGTTTTTAGGTGTTAGTTCTGACCTTGATTTGAGGCCTGACTATCTGACAGACTGCTTTTCTCCTAATTAGTATTGTGGAAGTTGAGGTCATCTGAGGCACTTGAGCTAGCAGCTCACTTGCAATATGATCAGAATGGCACTGCTGGCAGGGCATTTTTAGTGAAGAAAACTTGAGTCTTGGAACTTGCATTTTTTTTCACTCGACTGAACTCTGGATTTTGTAACCTTCTGGACATACTGCAGGGAAAGTCGTTCCTGAGTTCACCTTTAAGGCCATTACTCTCTCTGTATCCTCCTGAAGATCCACTTCTGTCATGATGCCTGTGAAGAAACTATCTGATTTATACTAATAAACCTTTGGAATAATCTTAGGAGATGGGGGGGGGGGGGGGGAACG